CCCAGTGTGGACCAGGGGTAAGAAGCTGCTGAGGAACAGCTTAAATACAAACACAGTCACAAGCCTACTTGACTCTTCCTGGAGGGGACTCCATGGAGCCCAGGATCACAGGAGTCCTTCCTGGAGTAGACTCCATGGAGTCCAGGATCACAGGAGTTTTACTGTTAATTTACCCATGGTGCATATACAGTTTTAATATCCAAAGAGCCTGGTCTGAGGGTCTGGGTCAAAGCCCAGGAATCTGGATGTCAACAGGCTCCTCTCCTGTCACGTGCGTAGTTTAGGGATCTGTCTGCTCTGTGCTGTGCCAGACTTCAGGTATGCTCACATAGGGGGATGTGGGTTAGATGGCAGCTGAACTGAGGTAAGAGGCTCACAGGGAGTGGGGAAGTATCAGATGGCTCCCTAACCATTCAAGCCATTTCCTCCTAAAGGATTTATGCTTAGAAATATTATCCCATTTCACAGATAACACAACTGAGCCACTTAGTAATTAGACCAGTATGACATATGAATTAATTTGTGTTGTCTAACTCAAATGAGTAGAACACAGGCTCCTTTTTCCCATTTTGCTCCATCATTCACTGTCCCTGGTCTTGGGTAAAGGTTTAAGGATAGGTAAGTTAGTGGGAGAGATAAGGGTGGCAGTAATTAGACCAGTATGACATATGAATTAATTTGTGTTGTCTAACTGAAATGAGTAGAACACAGGCTCCTTGTTCCCAGTTTGCTCCATCATTCACTGTCCCTGGCCTTGGGTAAAGGTTTAAGTATAGGTAAGTTAGTGGGAGAGATAAGGGTGGCTCAGGTGTCCCCTGTTCCTGAAAAGAGAAGATGGAAGTAGGCAACATAGACACAGAGCATCTTGGATGGCTGCAGAGAGCAACAGATTGGGTTTTTTTTCCCATTGGGTCCTTCATGGGGCACTTGCTCACTGGAGTCTTACTGATAAGATCCACCATATGCAAATGCAGGCTTATTGTCCCAGAGGGCCTGGCCTGAGAGTGTGTGCAAAAGTCTGGAAAGCAAGTGGAAGCAAAAATGTGCAGAGCTAGTATTTGTTTGTCAATCTTGGAAATGCAGGGGTAGTTTTGTAGAGGTGTGGCTTGGCTTCCAGGACTGGCTGCTTAGACAGTGGGTTGGCTTTTAAACTGGCTGGAGGGTCATTGATTTGTTCTTTTTTGGTGTGTTTTGTTTGCTATTTTAAGACAAGATTTCTCTGTGTAGCCTTGGCTATCCTGAACTAGTTCTGTAGGCCAGGATGGCCATGAACTCAGATATCCTCCTGCCTCCTCTTCCCTATTGCTAAATTAGCCTGGTCTATAAAGTGAGTCGAAGATAGCCAGAGCTGTTACACAGAGAAACCCTGTCTTGAAATACACAGGAAAAATACATATATAGCATACATATTTTATATAAATATATATACATACATACATACA